TTTTCAATAAAATGAACGGCAAAAGTTGTTTAAGATACTTTTAATATTTTATCGATACTTCCATTATTGGACGATAGAAACAATTTTAAAAATATATCATTAGATACAGAATTGAATGGACTACATTTTAGTCGTGATATGTTTAGAAAATTATTGCTTCCAATAATAACAATTTAATAACTATTTTTCATTCATTATCTTCGCAATCTTTAACAACACTTCCGAATATGTGGCAATCGTTTGGGGATGTGGTGAAGTGACCAAGGTTGGAGGAAGATCTGACCGCCTTATGAAGGAGAAGATCGATCATGCTTACAGAAGATTTGTGAGCAAAATAAATGAAAAATGGGTTTAACCCAGCACCTTATTTACAAGCATTTGATATCGACATTTCGCAATTATCTTCAACGGTGTTTCGGATTATTCGTACGAAATTGTTGACTGTTCTCATAATAGTATCACGCTTAACAAGAGACACAATTTCAATTCAGTGCTGACTTATTTTATTGTGTAAACATTCAAATAGACAAGACAATCACAGACGGTATCAGTAGCAAAGTTACATTTACTTCTGTATGTCTCGGAATTGGATCTTGCACGGCTAAGCATGTCAGAGAGATAAGCAAGTGCATCAAACGCATTTTATTCTCGCATACTTCATTTTACTATTAAATGAAAAGAAGCGACATTCAAAATGTCATATTACATAAACGTTCATCTTTACGTATTCCTATTGGATTTCCATCTCGATATACAACAGCCATGAATAGAAATAATTTATCAGGAGAAAATGTTAAAATTATCGAACATAAATAGTTTATGTACACCATCAAGAAATTTCATTTTGTAATGAATAAATGCGTTAGATTTTGAATATAAATCGTAGCGACGTATACTATTATTTTTACATGGATAATCTGTCATTATATTGAAGTATTTGTTGTTTAGTATCAAGGAGAAAACCCTTGATACTTCTTCGGAGCTTTTTCTATTCATACGCACAAGCACGCTGATATGAATAGAATGAGATAATTATTCATGTCATATCATAATTTTACAGAATAATTATAAAGATTCGGTGATATAAAGTTCATTCATGTTTGAAATTAAATATAGATGATACATCAAACTTGGTTTATGTTCAAAGGATTGATGAGTGTAAAACATTGCATGTCATTTGTGTGCACAATATAAAATAACCGCCATTCACAAGCGAATATGTCCTCGATGAATATCTCAAATCTTCAATTCGAAGCTAATAACTTAAATTATGCTGCTATGATGTTTATTAGATGTTACTGTTACTTTGCTATACCTCTTGGTAGTGTAGGTCATTTATTGAGTATCTATATATTTACTCGTCCTTCATTACGATCCAATCCATGTAGTATGTATTTTTTTGGCTGCCACCATTTTTGGTCTGTTACATACGATTTATGTTTTACCTATGAGAATGATTCAATCTGCCTTTATCGATACAGATCCTGGAGCTTATTCAGTTGTGTTTTGCAAAATAACATGGCTTTTACTAAATTCAATAAGGTAACTTAATATTTCGAGATGAATATTGCTCGTATTGTTTTCTTCAATCCTTTCATTTCGTTCTCTTTCTTTTTACGGAGATATAACGTCATTGAATAAACATATACTAAATAAATATTGTAAGAGACAGTAATATGAACATTATTTTAAACTGAGAAATAAAAATATCATAAATGATCTAACTTTCACAGAAGAGTCACATTTAAAAGTATGTTTATCAGTCTAATATTGATTTTTTTTCTTCTTATAGAGGCCTAGGATTTTGGTTAATTGTTTTGGCTTGTGCTGATCGATATCTTTGTAGTTCTACATCAATTAATAAGAGAGCATGGAGTAGTGTTCGTGTGGCTAGTCGAACTATTCCACTTACTATTCTCATTGTCTTAATTGCTTATAGTCATGTTCCGATCTTTTTCAAAATTGATATTATACCAGCTACTCAGAAACCTATTTGTTATCCTCCAGGACCACCTGGAACTTATCGTATAGTATTGTCTTATTTTAATCTCATCTTTCTTGGTTTAGCTCCATCTTTTTGTATGCTTATATTTGGTGTGCTTACATTACGAAATATTGATCAATCAAAACGACTTTTTGTAATATCTTCGAACAATTTGTCAAATACAAATAATGAAAACATGCGAAAGACCAATAAACACATTCTTCGAATGCTACTCGTTCAAGTACTTGTTTATAGTGTAACAGGACTAACATTTTCTGTTGCATTAATTATTACAGCTATACAAGCTAATCGACCAAAAACTGTCTTTCAAGTAGCTCAGGAAAACATGATCAATGCAGTAGTTGGTATACTTTCAACTCTAGGTCCTTGCTTAAGCTTCTATCTATTTACACTCTCAAGTAATCTATTTCGAAAAGAACTTCAAAATCTGTTCAGTAAGTTTAACCGGATTGGTAATCAGTCGCAGAACATTCAAACTCGTACATCAAATACAAATCATATCAGAATAAAAGCAACAACGAAAGTCTGACAGTACATAGTTTCTATCTTCTCACAAAATGTATTCTTAATATCCTGTCAATATTTGATGTTGTGTTATCTGTCAAGAAATAAAAATTCAATTGTTGAAAACA